CATTTGTTTTAAAATGCGAATGATAAGAGTTATAAGGTGATTTTAATTTTTTTTTTATGATAACTGTTACGGTCCCTGTTTGTGAACTAATTTGTGTTTCAATTAGCTGTTTTTGACATGATATATAAGTAAAATAATTATTTTTCACGGCACACATAAATTGTGTTGTTTTGTAGTGGTGTAAGTTTTTGTAGATTATAATAAACTCATCAATATTTACTAATTTGCTATGTTAAGTTGTCATATATATGTTTATATATATGACATATATATATATTTTGTATATATGTTTATTGCAAAAATAATTCGTATGTATTTTTCCTTTTGAACTACACACTATTAAATGATTTATATAAAACTTATATAAAAATAAATAAAACACTTAATTTCATAAATTGGGACAAAACTAAATCAATTATTTATTTAATATACATAAAAACACACATATAACATAAAAATTAAAAACGACAAAAACTCAAATTTAATAATTAATTAATTAATTGGGGTCGATAACAATAATTTTAAGAAACGTTAAACTCTAACTAGATTAATAAATTTAATTTTATTTTTTTTCCCAGCTCATTTTAGATCGGATATCAAAAGGCATTAACGATAAAATTAACTCTGGCTCAGCATTCAAAAAGGCATTGTTCAGATTTCTGTATCAGTACAAATTAAATTGGACTCAAAAAGGTTATCTTACACCTTTAGTAGACAGGTTTGTTCCAAAATAAATTTGAATATTTTTTATTATTTTTAATAATCAGCTTATATTTGTTATAGGCTAGTTTTTCATAAAGTATCAAAATTGCTTGGTGGTCGCGTACGTATTATTATGTCTGGAGGAGCTCCATTATCACCGGATACACATGAGCAAATTAAAATATGTTTGTGTGTAGATTTAGTACAAGGCTATGGTTTAACTGAAACGACATCAGGAGCAACTGTTATGGATTGTAAGCCCTTAAACTATTTCTAAATTATTCAAGCACAATTATGTAAAAAATATTTTGAAATTAATAGATCGTGATATGACATACGGACGCACAGGTGCACCTTTGACAGTATGTGATATACGCCTAGTAAATTGGGAGGAAGGAAATTATCGAGTAACTAATAAACCATATCCTCAAGTAAGCACAAATTTACTTGTAGTTGTAGACATTTTTTATCTAATTTTTAATTTCCATATTTACTATAGGGAGAAGTATTGATTGGTGGTGATTGTGTGTCATTGGGTTATTACAAGTTACCTGGCAAAACAGCTGAAGATTTCTTTGAAGAAGATGGCAGACGTTGGTTCAAAACTGGAGATGTTGGTGAAATACATCCCGACGGCGTACTTAAAATTATTGGTAATAATTTAACATATTTCTGTTTGAAAAAAAATCTTTAACAATTACAATTTATAGATCGTAAAAAGGATTTAGTTAAATTACAAGCTGGAGAATATGTTTCACTTGGAAAAGTTGAGTCAGAACTAAAAACTTGTCCATATATTGAAAATATTTGCGTATATGGTGATCCATCAAAACAATTTACTGTTGGATTAGTAGTACCCAACCAGAAACACTTAGAAGAACTAGCACAACGTCATGGCCTAGAAAATAAACATTTCGATGAGTTATGTGCATCACCAGTATTGGAAAAAGCTATGATTAAAGAAATTGCGGAACATGCGAGAAAATGTTAGTATTTATTGAATATATAGAAAATTTAGCAATATTTTGGTGTAACGATATTTACAAAATAAATAGCGTGTATGGAATACGCGTCCAATATAATTACCGTAGAGAACTATAGAATAGGAAATACGAATGGATTATAAGATAAAATCATGGATTAGAATTGTAGTTGTGTGGGACAGGAAGAGTTGAGGGAGTGATCTTTAGCTTTTACAGTTAATGTGTAATCTATAGAAATACGTTAGGTACCATTATGATCAAATATGGTCTAATAAATAGTGAAGGGGTTGAAGGGAATTGTGTTCAGAAAAATATTATTGCAATTTGTATATATATTTAACCATATTAGTTGAATTGGTTAAACATTTCGTGTTCTGTAGATATAGCAATAAACTAATATAAGCTATATTTCTATGTGAATATACGCAATGAGGTGATCTAAATTAGTATTTTACATTTATTTGGATGAATAACTTCGATAGCTAGGTTAGGTTGTTTGTAAAAAGTACATAAGTGTCTGTTATGATTAAAATATTTCTTTTAAGTATGTATATACTAAAAATTACTTTTTTAATTTGTAATTCAAATGTTTTTGGCAAAATTTATAATTTATTAGTTAAATGTTTTAAACGTCCTTGCTAATTGGGCAATTAATTTTAATAAATTTAAATAAAGTTCTCTCACATTTTTTTACATATCAATAATTTGTAGTTAAATTACCAATATATTAAAATATTGTTAATTGTTTAATTATTTAAATTATTTATTTAAAATTAACGTGAAAATTATCTTATGGTTTTTGTTTTAGGTAAATTACAAAAGTTTGAAGTACCTGCTGCTATCACTTTATGCAAAGAGGTTTGGTCTCCAGATATGGGCTTGGTAACAGCTGCCTTTAAACTTAAGCGCAAAGACATGCAAGACAAATACCAACATGATATAAATCGCATGTATGCTTCATGAAAATTACCTTATTAAGTTTCAATAATTAAAGCTTTGACTGACGCAAACTAAAATTTTTTAAGCGTTGGAATCCTACGAGGCAAAAAATACGAAAGAATTTCAAAGCATAATACTAAATGTCCATTTGTTTTTTAAAATAGTTTGTGCTTTTATTTGATTGCGTTTATATTTAAAGAAATATTCATATTTTTAACATTAGTTTTTTTTTTTTGCTATACAAAAAAAAATTGAAGTAAAATTAAGGTATTTTTAGCTGAATACCTTTTCCGAAAAAAAACAAAAAAATTATAAAATATCTAATTTAATGCTAGAAAAACTAATTATAAATTGTATAAAGTTTATATTAGAAAAAATGTTATCTATAAAATAAGTCACATATATTATATAATATTTTAAATCTTTGTTGTAATATTAAGTACCAAATTTTGTAATATATTGATATATCTATACCTATGGGATATACACAAAATTATGTTATATTTTAAAAGCTTTTTTAGTGCAATTATTGAATATATATAAAGTTTTTTTATTTAAAAAATTTTAAATAAAAATATTTACATATATTTAATACTAAATTATATGTAATTTTTCTTAGCACAGTTGTACTTGTTAGTTTCTTCTTTTTACACTCTAATTTTTTATAACAATATAATAAAAAGCGAGTTATAACATATATTTATGTATTTGTTATAATATTTAAAATATAATTTATTGTAAACTAGATTGAGAACATTGCAAATGTGTAGTTAATAGGAGAATCAATAATGTAAATAATTAAAAAAATTTAAACAATTTTATATTGAAGAAAATGAAAACTTTATAAAAAATTGTATAAACTTTAATATATCAATATTATTATTAAATTTTGTAAAAAAATATATTTACCAAATTATTTTATAAAGTTATGTTGATTATACCTAAACAAAATAAATGTACATTAGATTAATTGCTTTTAATGTTATTAATTGTAAAAACTGAATATGAAAAATTAAGTAAAAAAGACTTGGTAATAAAATATAAAATATATTTTAATTAGTTTAAAAATAAGTATGTAAGACAAATAAATTGTAATAGTTTAATTTAAATTGATATAATTGGATATACTTATATACACGTAATATGTTATGATTTTATTCAAACTAAAATTATGGTCATGACTGACAGACCCATTATATTTATTGATAAAAAATAAATCTTAAAAATTACAATATACTTATAATCTAATAATATAAATGAATTCAACAATAAATTTTATTGTTTATAATTAGCTTTGCATGAACATATATAGATATTTGTACACAAAGCAATTGTATAGTTCGTTTATGTATATTAATAAAATGAAATATCTTTGCGAATAAATTTACATGTATTTTTAATTTATATATATTAACTTCTGATATAAATTTATTTTAGGTATGTATTTAAAACTGTTAATTTTTAATCAATTCAACTAACCTTTTTAAATGTTTCAATATAATTATCGAAAATGACGTATGTTTTTACAATAGAGTATATCAGTTATACGTTTTAATTAAATGTTATCACACTTTATTATCAGTTAGTTCAATGTACCATCAATAATTTATAATGCAATTTAATTTATAATTATCTAAATTATGAATTTTATCTAATTTCAAAATATTTTTCTAAAAATTATATGTTATTTAAATAACTTATAATAAAATTTCAAAAACTGAACGATCAAAAACAAAAAATGTCCACTGATTGATAGCATATAATAAAATGAAAGTAGTGATAGGTATACTTCTCAATTTGCGGACTTAGATGCACGTTTATTAAATTCGGCAAATTTTTGGATTTAGAATCCAGCTTTTTTAAGAACATTCGCAAAATACGAGGGTTGCTATATATATTTCTGGCCTAAAAATAAAAATGCGAAAATTTATCAGCAAAAATAGTTTTACTGTTTTTCAAAGTATTTTTCAGCGCTCAAACCAATTGTCGAAGCACTTTTTTTACCCCGATTGAGAAACCTTCAAAACATGGTTTTTGAACGCTTCAACAGCATCTTCTGGCGACGAAAATCGTTGACCACGCATTTTTTCTTGATGTGTGGGAATAAAAAGAAGTCATTGGGTGCCAAGTCGGGCAGCGGATGACCCATCAATTCAACGTTTTGGCCGGTCAAAAAGGCGTTGGTTTGAGCCGATGTGTGAGAGCTCGCATTGTCATGGTGAACAATGATTCGTCTTCTCTTGTTCGTTTTTCGAATTTCTCCGAAGACTCTCTGCAAACCAATTGCAGAGAGTGTTGTCCAATTACATGACAACACGTTCTGAGTGATGTTATGCTAAAAAAATGTCAACGTTTCCAATGGAAATGTCAGATTGCATGATGTACTGATTGGGTAAGTTATAATAAGAAAACTAAATTTAATAAAAAAAACTAATTTTATCTTTTAATACAGCTTTTTACCTTTGGCGCATGTATTTGAGCTTTTGGCAGAAAGTGTTTGCCTTATGACTGGCGTACCAATTGGTTATTCCACACCATTAACATTAATTGATACAAGTAGTAAAATTATGCGTGGTAGTAAAGGAGATGCCACCGTTTTGAAACCGACTTGCATGACTTCAGTACCAGTAAGTTAAATACAAATATTTAAAAAATTTATAGTTTGTCAGAAAATAACAGTTATTTCAAAAATAAAAAAAAGCAGTAACAAAAAGTTGTCTATACTCATATCTGAATAAACCCTTTATCCTTAATATTATGCATGCTTTTTATATATGTGAGAGTTTTAAAATAAAAGAACTCTCTTGTATTAAAAATTTATTTTATATTTTTGTTTCTAAAAATATTCGACACGCCAGTATGAGTTATATACCGTTTTAAAATAAAAAGCAGAATTTTAAGAGTTATTTCTGCGTGAAAAAATAAAAGGCACATGATAATTATTATATTTGATGAATATAATATAAAGCAAATTTAATTATTAATTTTTGACATTTGTTTTAAAATGCGAATGATAAGAGTTATAAGGTGATTTTAATTTTTTTTTTATGATAACTGTTACGGTCCCTGTTTGTGAACTAATTTGTGTTTCAATTAGCTGTTTTTGACATGATATATAAGTAAAATAATTATTTTTCACGGCACACATAAATTGTGTTGTTTTGTAGTGGTGTAAGTTTTTGTAGATTATAATAAACTCATCAATATTTACTAATTTGCTATGTTAAGTTGTCATATATATGTTTATATATATGACATATATATATATTTTGTATATATGTTTATTGCAAAAATAATTCGTATGTATTTTTCCTTTTGAACTACACACTATTAAATGATTTATATAAAACTTATATAAAAATAAATAAAACACTTAATTTCATAAATTGGGACAAAACTAAATCAATTATTTATTTAATATACATAAAAACACACATATAACATAAAAATTAAAAACGACAAAAACTCAAATTTAATAATTAATTAATTAATTGGGGTCGATAACAATAATTTTAAGAAACGTTAAACTCTAACTAGATTAATAAATTTAATTTTATTTTTTTTCCCAGCTCATTTTAGATCGGATATCAAAAGGCATTAACGATAAAATTAACTCTGGCTCAGCATTCAAAAAGGCATTGTTCAGATTTCTGTATCAGTACAAATTAAATTGGACTCAAAAAGGTTATCTTACACCTTTAGTAGACAGGTTTGTTCCAAAATAAATTTGAATATTTTTTATTATTTTTAATAATCAGCTTATATTTGTTATAGGCTAGTTTTTCATAAAGTATCAAAATTGCTTGGTGGTCGCGTACGTATTATTATGTCTGGAGGAGCTCCATTATCACCGGATACACATGAGCAAATTAAAATATGTTTGTGTGTAGATTTAGTACAAGGCTATGGTTTAACTGAAACGACATCAGGAGCAACTGTTATGGATTGTAAGCCCTTAAACTATTTCTAAATTATTCAAGCACAATTATGTAAAAAATATTTTGAAATTAATAGATCGTGATATGACATACGGACGCACAGGTGCACCTTTGACAGTATGTGATATACGCCTAGTAAATTGGGAGGAAGGAAATTATCGAGTAACTAATAAACCATATCCTCAAGTAAGCACAAATTTACTTGTAGTTGTAGACATTTTTTATCTAATTTTTAATTTCCATATTTACTATAGGGAGAAGTATTGATTGGTGGTGATTGTGTGTCATTGGGTTATTACAAGTTACCTGGCAAAACAGCTGAAGATTTCTTTGAAGAAGATGGCAGACGTTGGTTCAAAACTGGAGATGTTGGTGAAATACATCCCGACGGCGTACTTAAAATTATTGGTAATAATTTAACATATTTCTGTTTGAAAAAAAATCTTTAACAATTACAATTTATAGATCGTAAAAAGGATTTAGTTAAATTACAAGCTGGAGAATATGTTTCACTTGGAAAAGTTGAGTCAGAACTAAAAACTTGTCCATATATTGAAAATATTTGCGTATATGGTGATCCATCAAAACAATTTACTGTTGGATTAGTAGTACCCAACCAGAAACACTTAGAAGAACTAGCACAACGTCATGGCCTAGAAAATAAACATTTCGATGAGTTATGTGCATCACCAGTATTGGAAAAAGCTATGATTAAAGAAATTGCGGAACATGCGAGAAAATGTTAGTATTTATTGAATATATAGAAAATTTAGCAATATTTTGGTGTAACGATATTTACAAAATAAATAGCGTGTATGGAATACGCGTCCAATATAATTACCGTAGAGAACTATAGAATAGGAAATACGAATGGATTATAAGATAAAATCATGGATTAGAATTGTAGTTGTGTGGGACAGGAAGAGTTGAGGGAGTGATCTTTAGCTTTTACAGTTAATGTGTAATCTATAGAAATACGTTAGGTACCATTATGATCAAATATGGTCTAATAAATAGTGAAGGGGTTGAAGGGAATTGTGTTCAGAAAAATATTATTGCAATTTGTATATATATTTAACCATATTAGTTGAATTGGTTAAACATTTCGTGTTCTGTAGATATAGCAATAAACTAATATAAGCTATATTTCTATGTGAATATACGCAATGAGGTGATCTAAATTAGTATTTTACATTTATTTGGATGAATAACTTCGATAGCTAGGTTAGGTTGTTTGTAAAAAGTACATAAGTGTCTGTTATGATTAAAATATTTCTTTTAAGTATGTATATACTAAAAATTACTTTTTTAATTTGTAATTCAAATGTTTTTGGCAAAATTTATAATTTATTAGTTAAATGTTTTAAACGTCCTTGCTAATTGGGCAATTAATTTTAATAAATTTAAATAAAGTTCTCTCACATTTTTTTACATATCAATAATTTGTAGTTAAATTACCAATATATTAAAATATTGTTAATTGTTTAATTATTTAAATTATTTATTTAAAATTAACGTGAAAATTATCTTATGGTTTTTGTTTTAGGTAAATTACAAAAGTTTGAAGTACCTGCTGCTATCACTTTATGCAAAGAGGTTTGGTCTCCAGATATGGGCTTGGTAACAGCTGCCTTTAAACTTAAGCGCAAAGACATACAAGACAAATACCAACATGATATAAATCGCATGTATGCTTCATGAAAATTACCTTATTAAGTTTCAATAATTAAAGCTTTGACTGACGCAAACTAAAATTTTTTAAGCGTTGGAATCCTACGAGGCAAAAAATACGAAAGAATTTCAAAGCATAATACTAAATGTCCATTTGTTTTTTAAAATAGTTTGTGCTTTTATTTGATTGCGTTTATATTTAAAGAAATATTCATATTTTTAACATTAGTTTTTTTTTTTTTGCTATACAAAAAAAAATTGAAGTAAAATTAAGGTATTTTTAGCTGAATACCTTTTCCGAAAAAAAACAAAAAAATTATAAAATATCTAATTTAATGCTAGAAAAACTAATTATAAATTGTATAAAGTTTATATTAGAAAAAATGTTATCTATAAAATAAGTCACATATATTATATAATATTTTAAATCTTTGTTGTAATATTAAGTACCAAATTTTGTAATATATTGATATATCTATACCTATGGGATATACACAAAATTATGTTATATTTTAAAAGCTTTTTTAGTGCAATTATTGAATATATATAAAGTTTTTTTATTTAAAAAATTTTAAATAAAAATATTTACATATATTTAATACTAAATTATATGTAATTTTTCTTAGCACAGTTGTACTTGTTAGTTTCTTCTTTTTACACTCTAATTTTTTATAACAATATAATAAAAAGCGAGTTATAACATATATTTATGTATTTGTTATAATATTTAAAATATAATTTATTGTAAACTAGATTGAGAACATTGCAAATGTGTAGTTAATAGGAGAATCAATAATGTAAATAATTAAAAAAATTTAAACAATTTTATATTGAAGAAAATGAAAACTTTATAAAAAATTGTATAAACTTTAATATATCAATATTATTATTAAATTTTGTAAAAAAATATATTTACCAAATTATTTTATAAAGTTATGTTGATTATACCTAAACAAAATAAATGTACATTAGATTAATTGCTTTTAATGTTATTAATTGTAAAAACTGAATATGAAAAATTAAGTAAAAAAGACTTGGTAATAAAATATAAAATATATTTTAATTAGTTTAAAAATAAGTATGTAAGACAAATAAATTGTAATAGTTTAATTTAAATTGATATAATTGGATATACTTATATACACGTAATATGTTATGATTTTATTCAAACTAAAATTATGGTCATGACTGACAGACCCATTATATTTATTGATAAAAAATAAATCTTAAAAATTACAATATACTTATAATCTAATAATATAAATGAATTCAACAATAAATTTTATTGTTTATAATTAGCTTTGCATGAACATATATAGATATTTGTACACAAAGCAATTGTATAGTTCGTTTATGTATATTAATAAAATGAAATATCTTTGCGAATAAATTTACATGTATTTTTAATTTATATATATTAACTTCTGATATAAATTTATTTTAGGTATGTATTTAAAACTGTTAATTTTTAATCAATTCAACTAACCTTTTTAAATGTTTCAATATAATTATCGAAAATGACGTATGTTTTTACAATAGAGTATATCAGTTATACGTTTTAATTAAATGTTATCACACTTTATTATCAGTTAGTTCAATGTACCATCAATAATTTATAATGCAATTTAATTTATAATTATCTAAATTATGAATTTTATCTAATTTCAAAATATTTTTCTAAAAATTATATGTTATTTAAATAACTTATAATAAAATTTCAAAAACTGAACGATCAAAAACAAAAAATGTCCACTGATTGATAGCATATAATAAAATGAAAGTAGTGATAGGTATACTTCTCAATTTGCGGACTTAGATGCACGTTTATTAAATTCGGCAAATTTTTGGATTTAGAATCCAGCTTTTTTAAGAACATTCGCAAAATACGAGGGTTGCTATATATATTTCTGGCCTAAAAATAAAAATGCGAAAATTTATCAGCAAAAATAGTTTTACTGTTTTTCAAAGTATTTTTCAGCGCTCAAACCAATTGTCGAAGCACTTTTTTTACCCCGATTGAGAAACCTTCAAAACATGGTTTTTGAACGCTTCAACAGCATCTTCTGGCGACGAAAATCGTTGACCACGCATTTTTTCTTGATGTGTGGGAATAAAAAGAAGTCATTGGGTGCCAAGTCGGGCAGCGGATGACCCATCAATTCAACGTTTTGGCCGGTCAAAAAGGCGTTGGTTTGAGCCGATGTGTGAGAGCTCGCATTGTCATGGTGAACAATGATTCGTCTTCTCTTGTTCGTTTTTCGAATTTCTCCGAAGACTCTCTGCAAACCAATTGCAGAGAGTGTTGTCCAATTACATGACAACACGTTCTGAGTGATGTTATGCTAAAAAAATGTCAACGTTTCCAATGGAAATGTCAGATTGCATGATGTACTGATTGGGTAAGTTATAATAAGAAAACTAAATTTAATAAAAAAAACTAATTTTATCTTTTAATACAGCTTTTTACCTTTGGCGCATGTATTTGAGCTTTTGGCAGAAAGTGTTTGCCTTATGACTGGCGTACCAATTGGTTATTCCACACCATTAACATTAATTGATACAAGTAGTAAAATTATGCGTGGTAGTAAAGGAGATGCCACCGTTTTGAAACCGACTTGCATGACTTCAGTACCAGTAAGTTAAATACAAATATTTAAAAAATTTATAGTTTGTCAGAAAATAACAGTTATTTCAAAAATAAAAAAAAGCAGTAACAAAAAGTTGTCTATACTCATATCTGAATAAACCCTTTATCCTTAATATTATGCATGCTTTTTATATATGTGAGAGTTTTAAAATAAAAGAACTCTCTTGTATTAAAAATTTATTTTATATTTTTGTTTCTAAAAATATTCGACACGCCAGTATGAGTTATATACCGTTTTAAAATAAAAAGCAGAATTTTAAGAGTTATTTCTGCGTGAAAAAATAAAAGGCACATGATAATTATTATATTTGATGAATATAATATAAAGCAAATTTAATTATTAATTTTTGACATTTGTTTTAAAATGCGAATGATAAGAGTTATAAGGTGATTTTAATTTTTTTTTTATGATAACTGTTACGGTCCCTGTTTGTGAACTAATTTGTGTTTCAATTAGCTGTTTTTGACATGATATATAAGTAAAATAATTATTTTTCACGGCACACATAAATTGTGTTGTTTTGTAGTGGTGTAAGTTTTTGTAGATTATAATAAACTCATCAATATTTACTAATTTGCTATGTTAAGTTGTCATATATATGTTTATATATATGACATATATATATATTTTGTATATATGTTTATTGCAAAAATAATTCGTATGTATTTTTCCTTTTGAACTACACACTATTAAATGATTTATATAAAACTTATATAAAAATAAATAAAACACTTAATTTCATAAATTGGGACAAAACTAAATCAATTATTTATTTAATATACATAAAAACACACATATAACATAAAAATTAAAAACGACAAAAACTCAAATTTAATAATTAATTAATTAATTGGGGTCGATAACAATAATTTTAAGAAACGTTAAACTCTAACTAGATTAATAAATTTAATTTTATTTTTTTTCCCAGCTCATTTTAGATCGGATATCAAAAGGCATTAACGATAAAATTAACTCTGGCTCAGCATTCAAAAAGGCATTGTTCAGATTTCTGTATCAGTACAAATTAAATTGGACTCAAAAAGGTTATCTTACACCTTTAGTAGACAGGTTTGTTCCAAAATAAATTTGAATATTTTTTATTATTTTTAATAATCAGCTTATATTTGTTATAGGCTAGTTTTTCATAAAGTATCAAAATTGCTTGGTGGTCGCGTACGTATTATTATGTCTGGAGGAGCTCCATTATCACCGGATACACATGAGCAAATTAAAATATGTTTGTGTGTAGATTTAGTACAAGGCTATGGTTTAACTGAAACGACATCAGGAGCAACTGTTATGGATTGTAAGCCCTTAAACTATTTCTAAATTATTCAAGCACAATTATGTAAAAAATATTTTGAAATTAATAGATCGTGATATGACATACGGACGCACAGGTGCACCTTTGACAGTATGTGATATACGCCTAG